AAAAAAAAAAAATACAACCCGGTTGATGGACAATTTCTGAAACATAAATAAAAATCAGGATAGAGGTATTTATGTGATTAGACAAAATCTCGGGGGTATACTGTAATCATCGAGGAAAATGCTTGGAATATATGCTTTTCATGATTCCAAGTGTCGAAACTTAAAAGCGTGAGAAGCATACCGTGATCCGGTTTTGTCAAGTTCCAGATGACCGATTTTCTTGGCTAAACAATTTGATCCGTTTGATTAGGGTTGCTTTAAGTGTTTCAGGAACCTTAGGAATAAAATTTCTCTTCGCCTGTGAAATAAGCAAATTCCTATACAACATGTGGATATGCATCAAGATGAGTTGTCCAACAAAAAACAAGCACATTATAAGACTAGAGCCAAAAATAATAATAATAATACTAATACAGAAAAAAAAAAAGGAATCCATAATTAACAGCGCTTAAATGCCAATATCATTTAGCTGGTAGCTTGTCACAACCACAGACTCATCAACTTGGTGAAATAACCTTTTCATATTTCAGGTATATTAAGGATGTTTTGTCTCAGTACACTACTCAAGAAAACAGAAAAATAACTGGAAACACAACACCACATACTTCAACATGGACTTCTGGGGAGCAAGCAAATAAAAATAAAAGTACCAAGAGGCATTTCAAATTTTCACACAAAGCATGTAACAATAAAATGCAATGGTAATGATGCTGCAAGCACACTGATGTTAATTTCTTAACAAATAATGTGACCCAGACGCATTTCATTTCAGTTACTTTTAACATGCAATTTTGGATCATTCGAACTGTCGTAGATGAATGCAACATCTCAATAGAACGAAGTTTCAAGAAATAATAAATATAACTTACTTCATCCCACGGTCATCCAAGGCAGCATTGCCTGCTTCTCGACACATTTTTTTCCTAGCATGCATAAACTTTTGCACTTCCTCGGACCATCCACATGAGCGGAGAACTACAGAAGCTTCTTTTGCAATCCTGCGGGACGTTGAAAAAAACTTTAAATATTGTACTTTGTAAGATAACCAGTAACATTTATCAAAAACAGAAGTAAGAAAAATATATTTTTGAAATACAGACACCAAGTACCCAAATGAACATTGTAAGTTTATGTGTAGGCAAACTGGCAAACGTGAAATTAGATCAAGGTAAAGAACAGTTGAGACAATTAAATACTTTGCCGGAAATTATGAATTGGGTAATCTTCTGTTTCCATCATGCATATAATGGCAATGACCAACTGTCTTAATCTGTGAAATTAGATCAAGGTACAAAACAGTTGAGACAATTAACTACTTTACCGACAATTTTGAATTGGGTTTATTTTACGTTCCGTTAATCATCTAATGCCAACGATCAACTGTCTAATTAAGGATTAGGGACTAACTCTGGTCAAGGACATCTTGACAGGACTACACCAGCCACAGCCCCAATGGCCATACCCAATTTCTTAGCAATATATAATATTAAAATATAATATCCATGAATAAAATATCAACAATAGAACGGTGGAAAAGATCCCTGAAAGAAGTAACTTCATCTAGCTCATGTATGTTAAGACTACATCTGTACCTATGAACAGAAGAACTAAATGCAACTTATATACATCTAGCCAAATAAACAAGCATTTAATTTTCACGCTTTGATAGGTTATAATTATATAAGATAATTTATGACAGGCAGTTCAAGAGGCATAAGAACAAAAGTTTTGCATTTAAAACTCAAAGCAAAAGACAGTTATTGTAACATTATAAGACACAGAGAGATGAGCAATTTAACGGGCATAAGAACAAAAGTTTTGCATTTCAAACAGGTAGAATGTAGACATCACACAGGAGCAAAACAAAAATAACTATGAAGCATAAGTAAAAAAACTTGAAGCAAATCAACATACAGTTCCTTGAATGCTTCCACTTCTGTGCTAGATTCATCATCTCTTGCAAGAAAAATGCATGAAAGACCATTTCCCATCTTCCTCTTCATGCTTGAGTTGTCAGAGCCCACAACTTCATCACTTTGTATGCCATTGAGATTTTTACATGGTGCAGTTATAATTCTAGGGCCATTGCCTTCAGATATTCTCCTTTCGGAGTCTACTGCAGTATGCCTAGCCTCCCCATTACTGATACACAAAGAGGGCCTTTTCTTCGTAATTTCAATATCTGCTGATGTTTGACACATGCCATTCCTCTCAATCATAGGCAAGCCAGTCTTCTCCATTTGGCCAGAAGTAATTAAAGCTTCTGTGTAGCTATTTTCCTTGCTGGATTCTTTTTTACGAACAATAAACTGGCTGTTACCAGCAGCTAAGAGCTTTTTTCCAATCCCAGAATCACTGAGCCTCCCATCTACCATAGGAAGCCCCTGATCAACCTCAAATTTCATTGTGTTATTTGTCTGACCATGATGGTTAGATGTTTCTTTATTATTAACTGGTTTAACATGAGAACCCGGCCTGAGTTGCTCAATTGTATTACTGCTTTTGGATACAACAGATGAGACGGAATTCTGTCCTTCCGAAAAATTATGGACACGCTCGTTCATACTAGCCGGTGTTTCCACAAGTTCAGACCTTCCAGGTGTGGTCGCTTTATGACCATTGGTTGCAAGGGAATCAGTATGACCATTTCTCTCAGAATGGGAGGTCGGCAATTTCGTTTTAACTGGTTTTTCAGGATGATTTGACTCACGGGTAAAAGAATCAGTGCCATTGGTTGAACTACAAGTCTCTTGCTGTTGACTAGAAATTAATTTAGTACAAGTTGAATTATCTGGACAACCTGACTTCTGCTTTATGTATGCTGCACTGCCATTTGACTTGTGATTCTTGTTTCCATTGACAATATCAACCCTAGCCTGAGACCTTTGTTTCGTACGGGAAAAAAATAGCATATAGACTTTCTCCGACAAAACCTCCTGCAAGGTTGACACCGAAACATAAGAATCATTGCAGCAGAACCAGCGGCCTGTCGCATCCTGAACAGATAAAAGCAAACTCAGAAATTGCACAGAGTGGTGGCAAACCATACAAGAAAAAATCACTTTGACATCATGAATCAGCAATGAAGGACCTTGATATATGCATAGTAGTGTCCAGAATCAGGAGAGAAACCTGAATGTACAATTGTACCAAAAAGACCATACTCAGGGTACTGGTCCTGCAAGAAGAGATTATTTATGCATAAGAATAAAAGCCAATCAAAATAGCAGAATCAGAAAATTAGATTGCTTGCAGTCAAGTTTCAAACAAACTTTCTGGAAACACATATGGTGTGGGAAAAAAAAAAAAAAAAAAACCAACAACGTTGACTATAAGAAACTGATAATTGGGCCTGGGTAGAACTCATCCCCAAAAGCTAGCTCAAAGGAAGAGGGTGTCCAACCCACACTTATACACAATAACAGTCCAGTAATTAATCGATGTGGGACAAACATTACTTCTAACACCCGCCCTCACGCGCAGCGTGCCAAACACTAAATGGGTCGGGTCTAAACCAAACATTGCCTGCAAACAAACAAAACCTGAATGCTCTGACACCATGATAAATGGGCCTGGGTAGACCTCATCTCCAAATGCTAGCTCAAAGAAAAAGGGTGCCCAACCCACACTTAAACACAACAACAGCCCAATAACTAATCATGTGGGACAACATAACTTCTAACAGAAACATATTCAGAGTTCAAACAAGTAGATGAGTTATGGAAAGGAACACGATGGTAGTAGAGCTACTACTAATAGCTCAAATATCATGGTCCAACATGCAGAGAGTAAAGGATAGGAAGAAGCTATGATGACAAGATAAGACAGCTACACACTATCCTCCTTCCTCGCTTCCCCAGCAGCTTACAGCGAAGCAAATAGGCGTACTGTGATTAAGCCTGCTTTGTTTTACTTCTACCACGAAGGCTAAAGTAATGACTGGATGGACATTCCTAAGCTTAAATCAAGAAGGGTCCACTTAATGGGAAGTACGTCAAGCACAAAATTTAAAACAGAATCATGCAGTGAGGTTGGCTAGACCTTTAATAGCGAAAAACTGATAGCGCCTCCACACAAACATGGGATCTGAGCATCCAATGTTCATGACGCACAAAAGAAAATAGCAATTTGTTTGTGTGTCATGAACATTGGAAGAAACGAATATAGGTACGTATTTGCATGTATACTACATTAATTTCCAAACAGATTCAGAGAAGCTGAAGAAGATAGCCTTACAAATTTGTCTAACTTCAGCAATATTTTTCATTACGCACCTTGCTTTCTTTGCACATGTGACTGGAAAGCACCAATGCCTCGTCAAATGCAATGGGCTTATCAACCTTCCCACCAAACAAACCCTCGAACCTCTACACAGCATGAAAAAATAAATAACAAAGGATGCAATACTCAGACAAATATTACATTAAATAAGAAAATCAACAGAAAGAAATAAAATGCGGTAATTATCACACCTTTAATTGTATTACAAGAACATTGGGCGCCTGAAGAATTGTCATTTGCTTCCTTGCTGCCACCAATCTCTCACAACTAAATAAGCATAACTTCCACTTCACACCAAGGTATAAACAAACATATCTGGAAGAGGCTAGCAAATAAAACAATGGCGAAATAACATGAAATAGAGATTTCATTACTTACCTGTCACACTTGTATTTGTTATTTCCATCCAAGACCTCAGGCTGGAAAAACTTCTGTAAAGCCTCTTTCAGTGACCCACTATGCAAAATATCAAGACTAATATCCATAATGTCATCGACCTTATTTGACTCGGCCCCACATGACAAACATTTTACTTGACTCTGAAGCGCCCCTCCAAAAATCTCCTTGACCACCGTTTCCGTAGACCCACTAATATCTCCTCCATTGGAAGCTCCAGTCTTCCCCCTTTGCTGCTGCTGCTGCAGCTTCTTTAGTCTCAAGCATGTATTATGGCACGCATCAATTACATAACGCAAAAACTCATGAGCATCCTCTTGCCTCCCAGCTCGAAAATGTTCTGCATATATCCTTAGACACCTGTTTATTTTCAACGGGGCATCCACAACTGCCTCACTATTCAAAGAGAGAGCAATCCGTCTTTCCAATATGCAGAAAGGGCACTCCCTCTTCTCCTTCTTAGAGTCGCCTAAGAGAAGGCCATATTGTTAACTAGATTCAAGTTCATGCATCTGTATCTACCCCTAAAGCACGAAATTGTAAGAAGAGAAAACAGCAAATTCCTAAACGACATTTATTTCCTTTAGAGATTCGTTGAAACAAACCATGACGAGATTAATTCATGCAACCATTTGATTTAAAAGCATTACCAACTTTATGGCTTTATCGTGATAAGTCACTATAAGATACATCTTTACAAGCATGTCGTGCTATTTTCTCAACTATCAAATAATCATTAATATCGGTAGCCATCAGAAAGTTCAGAAATACAGAAACTATTCCACACTTTACGGATATGGACATAACAAAAGAAAAAAACCCAGTCTTTTTCAAATCCAAAAGAAGCTGCCAAAATATATGCTGCCCAGGGGAGAGGGAAGCAAAATGGAATCTTGCAAAAACTATAAAGCTTCAAACACTATGCTCAAATCACATCACCCGTTCTGGTTGGGCATCATATGCTCACCCTCAATTCCAAATTCAAACTCAGAATCACAGAACTAGAACAATGGCATGTCTCATTGGAAAATTAAGCTCAACAAAATGTTCCTGTCAGCTTGAAACAGCCATGAGAGCTCTTAATAAACTAATGCTAGCTGATATGCACTCTGCAATTACTATAATAACACATAACACATTATTCGCACACGCACACGGACACACAACACACAAGCACCAGAAAACTACTAACGGGACAAAAAAACATGAAATTCAAGTATGATCATATGTGATTATGTCCAATTACAAAACACAGCCCAATAAATATGCGGAATCAATAAAAAATAAAAAGGGGATAAACAGGCAAAGCTTACAAACAGAGGAATGGAGAAAGCGGAGGCAGAAATTAGCGAGCGGAGGAGTGTAAGTTAGGCATTGGAGGACGGAGTTGAGGTAGCAGGTGTTGCCCAGATTCCGAAGCCCTAGGGGCGGCGAGCCGTACTTCCGCTTCAACGACCGGAGAAGGGTCGGCTGCCACGTCATCTGCAGCATGGCCATCAACGGCTGCTCGACGCCGCACCATCGGCCGGCCTCCACCGCCGAGATCGCATCGCCTGCTCAATACTTCTTTCTCTCTCTTCGCCGATTGTCTCTCCTCGTTTTTATTTTTATTTTTTTTCCTTTTTTTTTACAAATGTTTTTGGGGGAAAGCGAATGAAGGGGTTTCTGGGGTTAGAAGGTTTTCTTAATACCATTATTATTATTATTATTATTATTATTATTATTATTATTA